GATTTAAATGTCACACCTGAACGCTCACATCCTTTAAATTATGTTTGAAATTATGAACATTGCTCAACATCATGAAAATTAAACCTTATTTTGAATAAGCAATCCTGAAAAATATTTGGGGGTGCTTAACTTTTTTCCAGGTGTATATTAGCTGATGGACTCCCGATAATGTATTCTGCAAATGCTCTGATTTGTATGTATATGACTAAGTATACATAAGAACTGAAAATGCAAACATAGCTGTAGATCTAGCGTTATACCATTAAAATAAATACATAAAACAGACAATTGTTTGTCCCTACCTTTTTTTTAGTAAATAATAGCTGAAAGTGAAATTTCATAATTATTTTGTTTTAGCAGATCTACTGGTGTGTGTGTGTGTATAAAACTTGAATGATTGTTGACAATTCTATATTGTACTTAAAACATTAGCTACGACTTGAGCTTACCCTGTATGACTCTCGTTTTTGAATAACTTATCGGACACAATTATCGTCGCTGTTATCTGCCTTTGAACAAGAGTGTGATGTGCCACTGGCATGAGCCTGGCTGCTGCTTGCCTTGCTTGATGAATCTCCCTCGAACTATGGATACACACTGAGAACTGCATTTTTTTTATTATTATTTACAAATCCCATATCAAATTGTAGTTTATTTTCGAAGTCTGATTCCAAAAAGTATTACCTGCATACATGGCAGCTTTTATTCGGACTCCATTTATCACGAGTTATTCACACAAACTTTGTCCAAGTCATATGCTGTTTTTTGTCCGACTTGGGTAGAAACTCGTGAAGTGATACCTTCTATTCCTTCGGAATATTCCCACATTTATAAACAAAACTGCAAAAAATCATAGTTGTTTAAATCCAGGAAAACTTACGAATAACTGTATTCACATAAACAAACCAACAGTTTTCCACACACAAAATGGTACAGAGAGGAAGCCTTATTTACCTTGACTGACGCCACTTTCCATTGACCAAATTTTTCAACCAAGCGTCGCAAATGATGACTGTTGCATTAACTTTGGGAACTTGTAGGACCGTGGTGGATTTAGGCGAAATTTTTAATTTATATTTCCACGGCACTTATATATATAAATACAAACGTATTGTGTTTTTAACTATCTAACATCTTTAAGGTTAAAACTTCCATAATTTTTCAAAGGGAATGACCAACAGTCACAGGGTTACAGTATACACCATGAGAAGAACAGCATTACGGTTTTATGTATATAATGCTATATTTTCTCAGTTTGGCACTTATATATATAAATACAAACGTATTGTGTTTTTAACTGTCTAACATCTTTAAGGTTAAAACTTCCATAATTTTTCAAAGGGAATGACCAACAGTCACAGGGTTACAGTATACACCATGAGAAAAATAGCATTGCGGTTTTATGTATATAATGCTATATTTTCTCAGTTTGGAACAGATTTTCACAGACTTCCAACCGGCATTTCTGAGAGCTCTCTCTAGTAAAGACATCATAATCACACTCATCTTATTTTGTATTGCTTGTAAAAATAAATATTTTACATTGTTACACACTGGGTACAGTCTTCTTCTTCCACAACTCAAAGTCAAATAAGTCAGATTTACTCTGATACATTTTCTGTCAAACCTCCTGTTATTCTGTGAAACCTACATAATTATCCTTGAGGGAAATCAATGCACTTGAGAATATCACAGAAGTTTGATGCCAACCATTCTTATACAAGTTGTCTAAATGATGGAAATTTAGTGTATTAATGTGTTTCTAAGCAATAATCTTTGTTAACCCTGTTAAATTATGTTAACACTTGTATGAAGATTACTCTAAAGTATTAACTTTGTGTCTGAGTTTAGGCCCAATTTAAATTTCCTAAGGTGTTCAACTCTTTGGACATATTATTGAGATTAATAACCAAAACACTGTTAAAATTGAAGGTTATCCAACTGATGATTTAATGCGTGTTTGTCTGAAATTAGGCACAAAGCTACACAACGGGTTATCTGTGTACTGCCCACCATGGGTATCGAAAACCTGGTTTCTAGAGTTGTAAGTCCACAGACATACAGCTGTGCCACTGGGGGGCAAATTAATTACAATCTGATCCGTGTACAATTTCTTCCTCTAACTATATACAGCAAATATTAACTGCAAAAAATAACATTCCTTTCAACTCTGATTAAATCATTTACATACTGTTAACATAAACTAGATTAAATACTACTATTATACCAATTGTTTTTAATAAAGTATGTTATATTTTGATTAATTAGAATGTTCAAACTGTGTTCAGAAATTTATCTTGAAGAAGACTTAACTAACTGATTTAATTTAGAATTACACTGTATGGCTAAATTGATACAGACTTTAATGTTTGATTGTAAACATATTTCATTCTGCACCTTTGTTGTTTTTTTTGTTTTTGTTGGTAAATAACATTATCTGAATAGCATTATTTCGGTGTTTTTAACGTTTTTTGCAAGAAGTTATTTGTACTTTCTCTACATTCAGAACATGCAAACAGTAATAAGGAAAATGGAAAATTGTTGATGATTGACTTTTTAAATATAAAACATGAAATTCATTGTAAAATCAAAAGACTGAGTTACATGTTTTGATGGTAGCTCTCAAAAGAGTCAATATAAAGAAAAAAAAACACATCAATAATTATTAACACAATTGTAGTTTTTACAATTTTCAGAAAAAAATCTGAACGGTTTCATTTCTTACAATGTTTTGTTCTACCCCCCTCATCCTAAAAAAAATATTTAAAACAAACTGAGATTGACACTTTATGTTGAACTTATAACATCTTTTACAGAATTTTATCAATTAATATTTGTGCTACACACATGCATTCTGAAGAGATTATGGATACAACTTATATTTAAAAGAAATAAAAAATAAACATTAATAACTTACACTGTTACCAGTTAATTTTTTTGTACTACACACACACACACATTCTGCAGGGATGATGAATCCATCTTATATATAAAACACAAAAAAATAAACATACTAACTTACATTCTTATCGATTAATTTTTGTGCTACACACACACACATTCTGCAGAGATGATGAATAAAATTTACATATTAAATTCAAACAGATAATCATAAATAATTTAAACACAAATAATTATTTCAGATTACAACTTTTTAAGAAAATCTAAATATATTAACGAGTTCTTGTACTGAAAGACAAACCATATTCATTATGTTGAACTACTGTTCTTAACAAACAACTGCCAATAGTTTATGTTGAAAATTAATCTTACGAGTAGATGTACCACAACATTCTACTGATCTGATTATAAACATACATATAGACTTATAAAACCTGTTTAAGAACACATATTGTGTACATAAAGTAGAAACTATAATAAATAAATGAGGATATTCATTTGAGCACTTTTGTAAAGTTTAATAATAATAAATAATGTAAATATTAGAACCAAACTAGTTCAAACATCTTAACATTTCAATGAAAATACAATACAAATACATGCATCATTCATCAGAGAGAAACAGCTACAAAAATTAAAGGAACATTGCAATGATGGATGTATAAGTACACTTTTTCTTTAAATCAGATACTGCTTTTTCCCATACACTTCTTTAATAATTATATTTTATTTTTAAGACCACCTAAAACATATAAATCTATCAAGAAATAATAAATTAAGTATGTTTGCTAGTCATTACCTTTCTAGATAAAATAAATATACATTCATTATGTATTGTAAGGAGCTTCTCAAACGTCAACACTGAATTTCTTTTTTCTAATCAATGTTAAAAAAAGAGAGTATGAATGTACTTCTATGTTGGAGAACTTTCCAATGTCTGTGAAGAGCCTATATATCTATTACAAATATTCTCTCATAAAGGGTGACTTTTGATATTGAAAGTGTCTATCACAGCAAAATAGTGTTGTAAGACAGTGAGTCAGACAGTGTCTGTCACAGCAAAATAGTGTTGTAAGACAGTGAGTCAGACAGTGTCTGTCACAGCAAAATAGTGTTGTAAGACAGTGAGTCAGACAGTG